AATTGTAATTTAAATAGACTAGATTGGAGGATAATTAATTATAAAATAATTAACAACTCTTAGAGCTTTTAAATAGTGTTATGTAATTAATTATAAAATAATCTCAAAATTCGTTTATGTCTCTCACTCATCATCTTCAAATAATCTATGTTTTCTCTGTCCCGCATTTATCTCTATTACATATACTTTTCAAATAATCTTAAAATAATCCGGATTCATATTTTGATCCCAGATTATTGTAGCAAATAATCCTATTAAATAATCTATGTCACTCATTGATTAAATAATTCTCTAAAAAAACTGTCATGTCACCAATTTAATCTTGTAATAATCCTCCCAGTGTCCTTGGAGCATCCTCAATGTATATTGTTAACATCCTATAGATTTGACACATAGCAATTAATAAATGGAATAGTCTTCCACCTCATATTTGAGTGAGGTAGGTGGACATTAAAATCCTAAAATCATGTGCAATGCTTGATGTCCGCAACCCATAAAACTACCCACGTATAACCATATAATGGTCAAATTAAATAACTCATATTTAATTGAAATACTCCTAGAACCGAAAAGGCTTCCGTATGGGCATCAAAATGCTGAGTCATCCTGTTGATGCAACTGTATAGAAACGACACTCATGTATAGTGGTGGACTCGGGCCGGTTCGGGCCCGGTTCGGGCCTGGGCCCGGCCGGGCCTCGGTTCTAGGAAGGCAGGCCCGGAACCGGCCCGGATAACCCCGGGTCCGGTTCGGTTCGGGTCACCCGCCCGGTTCACGGGCCGGGCCTATTTAATTTTTTTTTTTAATTATTATATAATTAGAATAAATCTTATTACAATTACAATATATTATATTCAAATTGAAGTATATTTATTTCAAATAAGAAGTACAATTGAGAATTAGGATAAATTTAAAAAATGTAATACATTTTGTAATAAAAAATCAATCGGACTCTCCGCCTTCGGTTGTTTCCTCCATAAAGTGGCGGGAGGGAGTGATGGTAATTTCTTGAGTTCTTCGTTGGGCCTTCAACCAATCGTGAAAGCAAACTAGTGTCTCAAGAGAGCTCGGGCTCAACCTCGTTCTAAAATCTGTTAGGACGTTGCCGGCCGCACTGAATTCTTGTTCCACGGCAACGGTTGATATCGGCATTGCTAGTACTTGCTTAGCCATCTTTGATAAAATCGGGAATGTTCTTTCATTTTCCTTCCACCACTTAAGAACGTCAAAGTCATCACCAACTTCATAATCAACATTCAATGTTAGATACAAAGAAAGCTCGTTACCTGAGCTTTGTTCAGTAGCGGGAGTTGCTCTACTTTTTTTCAAAAGAGAACCAAAAGCGGATTTTAAAAGTGATTTTCCTTTAGATGAAGAAGATGTTCGTTGCATGGGAGGGGGTGCATTACCATATTGTGCATGAAATTCATTATACAATTGATGAAATAAATTACTAACCTCGTTGAATTCTTGTTTAGGGTCGATGGGATTATCATCGAACTCTTGAGTTGGAAAAAAAGAAGCATAATAGTAATCTATACAATTTGCCAAGTAAGGAAGTTTATAACGAGGATCAAGAACAAATGCAATACCATATATATGCGGAATATGTGAATAATATTTTAAAAACTTTTGTTTCATGAAATCACAAAAATAACTAACGTAAGCGGCGTCGGAAAATTCACAAAAAGCGCCGGCGAGATTAACAGCTTCAACAAAAAATTCGTTTGCGGTAGGTTTATAAACATGACTAAAAGTTAGAGTTGCGTTATTAAAATATGCCAAAACATTAACAATTTTTTCACAAGTGTCGATGTCAGCCGGGTTTATAATATAGTTACAAGTTTGTCTTAAAAAAGCTGGAAAATGATCTTTATATCTAACAAGTACTTGAATTAAATTATAAGTACTATTCCAACGAATAGACAAATCTTTAGGAAAAGCACAATAATTCACACGTCTATCCTTCAAATATTGCCGCCATTGCATTTTTAGTGGAGTGTTAGCCCAAATCAATTTAATTCCCCCCTTGACTACCTCCAAAGCATTTCCTAATGCCGCTAAGCCATCTTGTACACACAAATTTAGAATATGACATGCACAACGTTGATGAAAAAATCTACCCATCAATGTAGAAGCACCACACAATTCACGTAATCTAGGTATAGCAGCAGTATTATTACTAGCATTATCAAAACCTACAGCAAACACCTTATCAATCAAATTATACTCAATTAAAATACGTTCAATGAGAATATAAATATTATCAGCAGTGTGACGATCATTGAATTCACGAAAAGCAAGAACACGTTTATGCATATTCCAATCATCATCAATATAATGTGCAGTTAGACCCAAATAATATAAATGATGATAAGTATCCTCCCATATATCACTACAAATACTAACACGTCCATCAAAGTTTGCGAAAAATATTTGTAATTTTTCTTTTTCCAAGTTATATTGCCTTATTACTTCTTTTTTAATCGTTTTGCGACTATAATTTCTAAATTGAGGATTTAAAGTACCTTGAGCATAATCTCTTAAAGCAAGACTTTCGGAAAAAATAAAGGGTAAATTTTCTTCAACAATTAAATGAGACATACCAGTCAAATATTTTTTATCATCATAGGAAAAATTATCAAAGGGTTGAGAATTTGCAAACCTTGATATTTGTGTTTGCTTCCCCTTTCCTTTGTCTATTTTCGCATACTCCACAACGTGGGTGGACTGAAGATGCCTTTTGATACTCCCGTATCCTTGAGAAATTCCCAAGCTAAACTCTTTCTTGCAATGATTGCAACTTGCGTACCATTTTTGGGTTTTTTCGTCTTTCCTTTTTGTAAAATTGTTTTCAATAATAGCAGATTTAGATTTCTTACCAATTTTGGTTGTGGTCGTTGAAGGGCCCTCGTCCTCTTCCTCATCATCCGGAGTCCCGTCGCCCCCCGCGTCCTCCTCCCCATCGTCATCCTCGAGCTCCTCTTCATCGATGGTTGTCGGGAATTGTTGTTCTTGTGCAAAACGTGGATCATTTTGGGACAATAGGTGTTGTAGTTCCTCGTCGGACATCATCATACCATCTCGCCGTTGGTAATCCGTTTCAAAATCATCTCAACTTTGAAAAGAAGACTCGGCCCGCGCTTTACCTTTGCCTTTGCGTGAAGTAGATCGAGTCGATGCAATCTCCCTCTTGCGGTTGCGTTGGAGATTACCCACATCTACAGAATGTCTACCTCGCTCCATATTTAAAATTGAACAAATATTAGCACTTAACTAATATGAGAAATGTAAAAATTAACTAGTTTTGTTATTTTAATGAGATATGTAGCAATTAACTAATATGAGAAATGTAAAAATTAACTAGTTTTTTTTACTTTAATGAGATATGTAGCAATTAACTAATATGAGAAATGTAAAATTGTAGCAATTAACTAATTAACTAATATGAGAAATGTAAAAATGTAGCAATTAACTAATTAACTAATATGAGAAATCCACAAATGTAGCAATTAACTAATATGAGAAATGTAAAAATATAGCAATTAACTAATTAACTAATATGAGAAATGTAAAAATGTAGCAATTAACTAATATGAGAAATGTAAAATTGTAGCAATTAACTAATTAACTAATATGAGAAATGTAAAAATGTAGCAATTAACTAATTAACTAATATGAGAAATGTAAAAATGTAGCAATTAACTAATTAACTAATATGAGAAATGTAAAAATGTAGCAATTAACTAATTAACTAATATGAGAAATGTAAAAATGTAGCAATTAACTAATTAACTAATATGAGAAATGTACAAATGTAGCAATTAACTAATTAACTAATATGAGAAATGTACAAATGTAGCAATTAACTAATATGAGAAATGTAAAAATGTAGCAATTAACTAATATGAGAAATGTAACAATTAAGTAGTTTAACTAATATTAATATGACAAATGAAACAATTAACTTTAACTACTTTAACTAATATTAATATGACAAATGAAACAATTAAGTAATTAAATAGATAAACGAGAAGTGTATATATAAATCAAATGTATAACTATATATAGTATATATAAATATATAATGTGTAAATATATTATAAGTAATATGTAATATAATGTATAACTATATTCTAAGTAATATATATTATAATGTATAACTATATATAGTATATATAAATATATAATGTGTAAATATATTATAAGTAATATATAATATATATGTATAACAATATATAGTATATAATATAAATATATAATGCGTAAAGAATTATAATATGAATGTGTATAAGTATATATTTATAAGTAGATAATTAATATTATAATATATGAGTAGATATAATGAAGATGATTGAATATGAGAGATTAAGAGAATAGAGAATTTAGATTTTAGAGAGTAGAAAGAGTTGTAGAAGAAGAGGTGTAAAAAATGTATAGAAAATAGGAGTATAAATAGGTTTTTTTTTGTATACCCCACCCCCACCCCACCCCCCCTAACCCCCCAGACCCCCCCTCCTATGCTCCCAACGGCTATAGAGCCGTTTGGGAGGTCTCCCAACGGCTAGTAGAGCCTTCCAATTTTTTTAAATTTTTTTTTTTTTTTGTGACCGTTGAGGCCCGGACCGGGCCCGGCCCGGCCGGGCCGGTTCATCAAATTCTAAGCCCGGGCCCGAACCGCTACACGACCGGGCCGGGTGGCCCGAACCGTGTCCTAACCAACAAACCGGGCCGGTCCGGGCCCGCACAGTAGCGGGCCGGTCCGGTTCCGGGCCGGTTGGCCCGGCCCGAGTCCACCACTACTCATGTACACAATGTCTAGAATTTTTTTTGACAACTCAACATGGAGGATAAATATTAAATACGGTGCATTATGTTAAAAAGGATGACATATATTTTTAATGTTGACGGCGTGAGACTGGTGATGCTCTTAGTTTTCTCTTGTATTCACATCCAATTTCATTATATTAGTACCAAAATCATAGCTATTATTCCTTGGATTAATTCCTTGCACGATTCCCTTCTCATATAAATTGATTGTCATTCGTGTAATTAATTCTTGCTCAAACAATATCACTATCCCACCGGTTCCAATCAAGCATGAATCCGATGAGAACAAATATGAAAAAGAGCTTTTTATTTCTTTTCTAGTGATCATAACGAATAAACACACAAAAAAGGTGAGGACGCAAATAATTATTATGAGCAAATTATGTTTGAAGCTTAGCTGATTCGACACATTTAATTTATATCGTTGAAGAAGCTAGCGCGCCCAAACGAAACTAATCAAGTGATGTAGTTATGAAGCAGATGCAACAATGCTTGGAAATCTTGTGTGGAGCTCCCTTCATCAGGTTTGACAGCCTCCAAAGCTCTCTCTTTGAGCACCCCAACATGTTCTCTGAACACCTTACGCCGATCACTCGCCAAAACGTGATCCAAGGCTTTGATTGTCCCATTCTTCGTAAAGATCCCACCCTCCACTTTCACCCCAATCTCCCACACACTCTCCACCAGCCTGCTGTTCAGCTTCTGATCCCCGAAAAACGGCCTACAGATCACGGGCACCCCGAAGGATACCGCCTCCAAGATCGAGTTCCATCCGCAATGCGTCACAAAAGCCCCAACTGAAGGGTGTGACAGAACTTGTACCTGAGGGGCCCATGGCACAACCTTCCCAAAATCTTTCGCTCGATCGAGAAAACCATCAGGAAGGAGGTTCATGCTTGTCTGTTTAAGGGACCAAAGAAAGGGCACCCTTTTGGCTTCTAATGCTTCTGCTATGGCCACGATCTCGTCGGGTGGGAGAGCGAGGACTCTTCCGAAGCTGAGATAGACGGCGGGGGTGGGAATGCTGTCCAGCCATGGAATACAGTGGTGCTCGTCGGTTAATTGCGGTGGCAATGAGGAGAGGAGAGTCATAGGGCCAATGTTGAACACCTTCTGGAGCTTGGATTTGAGATGGTTGGTGATGGTTGGCTCTAGCTCTTGGAAGGAATTAATGACGACGGCGTTTGCTCTGTGGATGTTACGTGACATGTTGTAAAGCATGCCGGGGAAGGATGAGTAGATATTCTCGGCCAGGACTTCGGCAGGCACGTCGCCGATTGGTATGGCGGACATTCCCGGGATGGCTTTTAGCGGCTGCTCCTCATCTCCTGCACCAAAGGAAGTTTATCGTTAATTCTTTTTATGATGAACTAATCATTATATTACTCAAGTAAATCCATCTCTATCAGACTTACAATACAATGACAATTGCTCATTTAAAACATTGCAAAATTTGTCTCGGATTAAAGATTTTAAACAACCTAATTTTTAAATGGTAGATTCTACGGTACTCATGAGGTACCATACCTTTGTCTACATGGACCAATGAGGATGTAGCAATTGAATTAATTAAATCTAAATTAAAAATGATAAAGTGATGTGGTCCAATCAAATGAATAGTAGGTACGGTACCCCATTTTTTTAAAAGGTACCGGAGTTGTCACCTTTTTAAATTCATATTAGTAATTTTTACTGCTACGTAATGGTCAATGTTAATAGTCATAATCGTGTATTGACAAATATTTAAATTAATTAAATTAAAAGTTTATAGTCCTAAAGTTTACTTATTTAACTCTATAAATTTACATTTGTTAAAAAAAATCATATGGTCGTAGTTTTAACATAATTTTTTATATAAAGTTTGAGATATTTATATTACATACGCAAGTTTAGAGTGTTTACCTCACACTTCTTCAAAGTTTAAGGTATTCGAATTACTTTTGTTAAAATTGAGGAAACAAAGCTGTTTGGAAAGTGGTTTGCAAAAAAAAACTATTTGAAAAGTGAAAAAGTTCAACATATTTATAAAATGAAAGAATGAAAAAAAAGAAAATTTGAAAAAAACGCCATAATATTAATTAATCATTTAATTTTCATGTGTAAGTTTTTTTTTTCTCAGTGAAATATTTTCCAAAAATATAACTCAGAACTAAATTGTAAGACAAGATGATAACTTAAATCGCATAATACAAAGTACTCTGTATTACATAATTAGTGTTTCCGACCGTCTACATCACTATTTTAGCCAACTTTTTCAGAGAACATCTAGCTTTCCGTCCGTCTACATCCGGTTGCAATTACTTTTCCGGCTCTGTTGTCTCAAGTTACTATAGAGGATCATTTTAGTTATTTTTATATATAAATTTTTTATTTATTTATTAATAAGATATATTTTAAATATAATTTTTTCATAAATTAGCGCAAGGAGCCGATTCAGTCACTTCAACCAGAATTTCATAAATTTCAACAGAATCAACCGATTCAACCGATTTTGATATTACCAAACTGGCTCTAATTTGATAGTCTCATTTGACTTTTCATCATTTTTTCTAAATCATTAATGTACTCCAATCTTTCATAATTTTTGGGGCTGATTAGATACACACAACATCAAATATCATTCATAAGGGCATCCTCATTGGGAGGATTATTACAAGATTAAATTGGTGATATGGCAGTTTTTTTAGAGAATTATCAATGAGTGACATAGATTATTTAATAGGATTATTTGCTACAATAATCTGGGATGAAAATATGAATCCGGATTATTTTAAGATTATTTGTAAAGTATATGTAATAGAGATAAATGCGGGACAGAGAAAAAACAGATTATTTGAAGATGATGATTGAGAGACATAAAAGAATTTTGAAATTATTTTATAATTAATTACATAACAATATTTAAATGGTAAGAATCATATAAAAAATTTATTATTAGAGATCATGAATGGAGATGCTCTAATAATATGAGGCGTAAAGTCAAATTTTACCTTTATTTCGCGATGTAATTGTTACTTCTACTTTTCAATGGACTAACATATTAAAAGTTTAAAACTACTCTATCGGCCTTTATTTAAAAAAGACTACGTTCTCACCAACCACGCGGTTTCATTAATTAACAGTGTAATGGAGACAATGATTTTTTAGATTATTTTTATTTTTATTTCAAAATTACATATTGGTCTTGTATTTTACTTTTGTCATCTATTGTGTACGACACGCATAACAGATGCCATTTTCTAAATCCGAGATCTTTTTCGCGGAATATGATACATTTCGTTCCTAGTAACCGGTCAAACTCACGGATCGACGCAAAGAACACTTTGAGATGAGCTTCTTGTCGAGGATCAAAGAACGCTTTTTTCATATGCAACGAGGTGCGGAGCACTGAAGGTGGGAATAATTATCATGGAGTATCATGTTCTGACGTTATCACACTTTAAACATAACAATATTTTTCACTTAATAATAATTACTCATACTTAAAGAATGAAAATATGCAAATCTGTTTTGACATTACTCAATGTGTTTACTCTTATTTCGAAAATTTTCCGTATTTATAAATTACTTATAGATACATTTTCGTGAATTGACGCGCGTGTATGTATATGTATATCAGTATATGTGTACAAATGTCAATTTCAATGAAGTAAAAATCTTTAAACCTAAGTGAACGAACATGTAAATTACTACGTAGTACTCCCTCTGCCCTCTAACTTTGTACCGTTTTATCTTTTTCATATGTCCTATTATGGTTGTCTCATATCATATTTGGTAATATTTGGATGGTTACAATTTCATTCTTACTTTATTCACACTTTATCAATTCAATATCAACCGCACAATTCCACTTTTTCTTAAAAGTTGTGTCACACCTCTTTGTCCCTCGTACGGAGATAGTAGTTAATTAGACTAATAGAGAACTTAATAGTTGTTTGAGAATCTTCTTTTCGGAAGCTCAAAAAAAAATGGGTTGTTGTTTATATTAATTAATGATGTCCCTAAGTTCAGGGTTTTGGTTACAAAAAGATCCTACACTGAGTCAATGTTACTTCACAACAAAATAAACCAACCCTTAATTAAATGTAGGTGACACAACAATTTGAGGGGGATAGTGGTTGTAATAAAGTTAGTAGAAATGAATGCTTAAGGTGTTTAGAAATGGTTGGACACTAAATTAAATAGATTTAATGATGATGTCAAATATAATGTAATTTTATTTATATACTGTCATCCCATTGTTTTTAGTTGTAATATATAAAATTTTACACTATTCACATGCTCTACTATAACTACATTTATTTAATAATGTTTGATTTTTTTTGAAAAATGTTACTCTATCAAATTCGTCTCATTACAATTTTCATAATTTAATTTTTAATTTTATTTTACTAATAGAGAATTAAATATAATGATGATCACAATTGTACATTGATAAGCGTAAAAATGGAAATGTTGTAATTATAAAAGAACCGACATGTGTATTGGGTTAGTGACACTCATGGGCAGATCTAGGGGAACCAACTTAAGGCCAAGGGAAGATCTATGTATATGCTATAGCAGAGGCGTAGCCAGGATAGAAGGTTGGGTGGGTCGGTACAAAAAAAATCTCATAAATTTCTACACTAAAATACAAAAAAAAAATCAAATTTAGGGTGAGCCGGGGCCCGGCTGACCCCCCTACCTCTGCCCATGGCTAGGGTGGACTCAAGTTCAGGGTAACTTATTTTTTCCCCCAATTTTTTTAGTATAAATTGTTTCACTTTTCATATTTAGTCCACCCCTAATGTTTATAATTACTCTTGAGCCCAGTCAAACCTAAATTCCTCACACAGCCTCGGGCCCCAACCCACCCCCAAATCAAAAAATGTCTAAACAAGTAGTACTGAACTCTATGATCCATTTTGACTTTTGACTCTTTCACATTTATAAGTTGTTTTTTTCATCTGATCTGAATGTTTCTCATCTGAATGTATTATGTTGTGATCTGATCTGATCTGAATTTTTCTGATCTGATCTGATCTGAAACTTTCTGATCTGATCTGATCTGAATCTGTCTGATCTGATCTGAATCTTTCTGATCTGGTCTGATCTGATCTGATTCCTTCTGATCCGAATCCTTCAGATCCGATATGAATCATTCTGATCTGATCTAAATCTTTCTAATCTGATCGGATTTGAATATTTCTATAATTATAATTATAATAATTATAATTATAATTGTAATTTAAATACAATTATAATTATAATAATTATAAAAAATATATAATTATATTTATTATAATAATTGTAATTAAAATTCAAATTATAATAATTATACCTATTACACTAATTATAATTATAGCTATAATTATAATTGTAATTATATATTGTAATTACAATTATAGCTATAATTGTAATTATAGCTATAATTGTAATTATAGCTATAATTACAATTATAGCTATAATTACAATTATAACTATAATTACAATTATAACTATAATTATAATTATAATCATAATTATAATTATAATCATAACTATAATTATAATTATAATCATAATCATAATTATAATTATAATCATAATTATAGTTATAATTATAATTATAGTTATAATTTTAATGATAGTTATCATTGTAATTATAGTTATAATTGTAATTATAATTATAACTGTAATTATAATTATAATCGTAATTATAATTATAATCGTAATTATAATTATAATTATAATTATAATAATAATATACTAATAATAATTATTATTATTAAAATTATTAGAATGATAAAAGTGATAAATCATGTTTGAACTTTTATGATCTGAATGTTTCTGATCTGGTCTGAATGTTTCCGATCTGATCTGATTTGAATGTTTCTGATCTGGTCTGATCCAATCTGAATCTTTCTGATCTGATCTGATCTAAATTTTTAAAATAACTCCGCCATGATATCATTTTTTGGGTATCATGCCTGTCCCAAGCCATGATAAAGGAGGAGGGTGTTGTGGTAGGCGTGTGATGGCCAACGGTATCACTTAGTCACATCACATCACATGAATCGAAATATGAATACCGCTAATGCTAGGTCGTCACCCGTAAGTGACGTGTCATCCTTCCGCCTGGGGGGTGGTGTCAAATATGGAAGGGCGTGCTACACTTCATAGACCTAGGTGTGATGATAAGAATGCTAAGGTTGCTAGGTTGCCGCCCGGAAGCGGCGCGTCATCCCATTGCCCGGGGATGATGTCAAATATGCAAGGGCATGGTGGGCTCCGAGATGGGGCTAAGAACATGATGTGGAGTGCTAGATTGCGTTTTGGGACATGGAATGTTGGGTCTTTTACAGGCAAATCTTCTGAGGTAGTCGAGGTTATGAGGAGAAGGAATATCAGCATTATGTGTGTGTAAGAAACTAAATGGGTTGGAGAGAAAGCACGCGAGATTAATCCCGGAGGTTTTAAGTTGTGGTGTTCGGGGAGAGATAAGACTAGAAATGGGGTAGACATTATTGTGGCGCGTGACTATGATGAGGATGTGGTAGAAGTCTTCAGGAAGAACGAACACATCATGAGCATTAAATTGGTGATAAGGAGTGAGATTGTGTCTGTGGTAAGTGCCTATGCACCACAAGTGGGATTGGATGCATCTACAACTCAACAATTCTGGGAAGATCTTGAAGACGTGGTGCGACGAGTGCCAAAGGGAGAGAAGTTGATCATAGGAGGTGAATTAAACGGGCATGTGGGCTCGAGTCGTGATGGCTTTGAGAGTATTCATGGCGGACATGGTTTTGGCACTAGGAATGAGGCGGGAAGAACATTTTGAATTTTGCCTTGACGTATGAGTTGGCTATAATGAACACTTGGTTTAAGAAAAGAGACTTTCACCTTGTAACCTATAAAAGTGGAGCTAATAGTACCGAAATTGACTACTTCTTAGTACCGACCACTTGGAGAACTAGCTACACTAATTGTAAGGTTATTCCAGGTAAGAGTGTTGTCACTCAGCATAGAATGCTTGTGCTTGACTTTCGAGGTAAAAACCATAGAAGACAAGTTAAACAACAAGTGGAGCCAAAGATAAAGTGGTGGATGCTTGAGGGAGATCTTCAACAAAGATTTACACACAAAATGGTCGGTGAAGATGTATGGCGTATTGATAATGAAACACATGTGGATGTTGTGTGGTTATCAATGGAGTTGACCATTAACAAAGTGGCAAAGGAGGTACTTGGAGAATCTAAAGGATGTCTGCCACCTAAAAAGGACACATCTTGGTGGAATGATGAGGTGAAACAAGCCATAAGGAACAAAAGTGATTGCTACAAAAAGTTGGGGACAAGTTGGAGTGATGAGAACATAGAAGCATACAAGAAGGCTAAAAGACAAGCAAAGAAAGCCGTAAGGGAAGCACGAGGGAAAGTGAACAAGGAGTTGTATGAAAAGTTGGACTCTAAGGAAGGAGAACTAGATATTTATAGACTTGCTCGTCTTCGTGATCGCAGGACTCAAGATATTGCAAAAGTTAAGTTTGTGAAGGATGTCGATCAGAGGATATTAATGGATGACAGAGAGATAAAAGAGAGGTGGAGGTCATACTTTTGATACACTATTCAACGGGAACAAAACGCAAGATATCGGTGATTTGTCCATACCAGATTGTATGGTAAATCGTGATTTTGTGAGAAGGATCCAAACGACGGAAGTTAAAGAAGCTCTGAGGAAGATGAGACAGAAGAAAGCAATGGGGCCAGATGGCATACCGATCGAGGCTTGGAGAAGTTTGGGTGAGAGAGGCGTCGAGTGGTTAACAAGTTTCTTCAACATGATTTGGAGAAACAACAAAATGTCAACGAGTTGGAGGAAGAGTACTCTTATCCCCTTATTTAAGATAAAGGTGATGTACAAGAATGTGCCAACTATCGAGGGATTAAGCTTATGAGTCACACCATGAAACTTTGTGAGCGAGTGATTGACCAAAGAATGTGAAGAACTGTGAAGATTTCAGAGAATCAATTCGGTTTTATGCCTGGTCGCTCAACAACTGAGGCCATTCACCTTCTTCGGCTACTTATGGAGAAGTATAGAGACGCTCATAAGGATCTGAATTTGGTGTTCACTGACTTAGAAAAGGCATATGATAGGGTACCACGAGAAGTTCTTTGGTGGGCCTTAACTAGGAAAGGCATATCACGCAAGTATATCACCATCATCATGGATATGTATGAGGATTGTACTACAAGTGTCTGTACGACTGTAGGGAGGACTGAAGAGTTCCCTATTACTATCAGAGTGCATCAAGGATCGGCCTTGAGCCCTTTCTTATTTGCCATAGTCATGGATGAACTTACGAAGTCAATTCAAAAATATATACCGTGGTGCATGATGTTTGCCGACGATATTGTATTGATTGATGAGAAGCAATCAGATCTTAAAGCAAAGTTGGAAGTATGGCGACAAACATTGGAGAATAAGGGTTTCAAACTAAGTCGGAGCAAGACAGAGTACATGGAGTGCAAGTTTGGTGGAGGTAGACGCAGTGATAATAACGGAATTACTCTGGATGATAAGGAGATACCAGTCTGCGATATGTTCCGTTACTTGGGCTCCATAATTCAGAAGGACGGTGAGTTAGATGGAGATGTATCACATAGAATCAGAACAGGGTGGATGAAGTGGAAGAGTGCGTCAGGATTTCTATGCGACCGAGGTATGCCGACTAGACTGAAGGGTAAATTTTATATGACAGCAATTAGGCCTGCATTACTGTATGGCGTAGAGTGTTGGGCGGTGAAATAATGTCACATTCAAAAGATGAGTGTGGCAGAGATGCGCATGTTGCGTTGGATGTGTGGGCATACTAGGAAGGACCGTGTGAGGAATGAGACAATCAGACAAAGGGTGAGAGTAGCACCTATTGAAGACAAGATGCGGGAGTCGCGCCTACGGTGGTTTGGTCATGTGCGTAGAAGATCGAGTGATGCACCTGTCAGACGAGTTGAGATGTGTGGAGAAGAGGCAGGGAAGAGAGGGAGAGGAAGACCTAAACAGACGTGGGTTAGGGGAGTTCGAAGTGATATGCTTCTTCTGGGGTTGGATGGGGGCCTGACTTTGGAGAAAACTAAGTGGAGAGCGGATATTTGCGTGAAGGGGTGATCTCGTATAATCTTTTTCCTTCATCTTTTTTCCTTGTTTTTTATCCTTATATATATAAGCATTATTTGTAGCCTTTTTATTTTATCATTTTTATGTATATTCATCTCTTTTTATATTATCTTTTTATAATAGCTTATCTTTTTTCTTTATTTTCTTTCTTTTCCTTTTGTTTGTGATATCATGTATCGATTCATGTTAGCCGATCCCAATATCTTTTGGGACTAAAGCTTGGATGTTGTTGTTGTTGTTGATCTGAATAAAATAAGAATAATCAATAAGTAATAAGAACAAGACGAACAGAACAGCTTCTTAACCAAATAGAGAGTGACGTTTTTAATCATTTTACTTTGACTTTGCTTATAGGTAGAGTATACTCCGTAGTAAACATATTGAGAGCTAAAATAATACTCTTTGTTCCAAAATGATAGTCCTACATTTTTTTTGGGATGTCCCAAAATGATGGTCTTGTTTCCCGTTTTGGAAAGAAAGATGTCGTCCATATCATTTCAGTTTATTATATTAAAATTTCAACCACAATTTTTACATTTTCAACCGTTTTATTAAAACTTGTGCCCAAAAGAAATGAGATTATCAAATTGGGACGGAGGTACTCCGTAATAATTGAAGAATTTGAAATGTCACTCTTACAATAATTACATGGACAATAATTACATGTTTAAATTTGAAAAAATCAAAATCAAAATTGAGGAATAAAATTTAAATTTTTTTAAGGCGAGTATAAAAAAAAACTGATGAATACCGAAAGAAAAGCTAAGAATTTCCCGGGAAAAAAAAACTGAGAAGTTTTAGAAATTATGAAGATTTCGTATCGAATAAAATGGAATGCGTGAGATAAGATATACTGCGGACATATACATACATCTGCAGAGACATATACCGTTTGTGGTGGCGGCGGCGACGGCTAAAGAGCGAATGAGATCAGTATGCAAGTGAAGCGAGAGAGTAGAAGATGCAGCCGTCCAAAGAGCAATCCATGGCGCGCCGCCCCTTCCGTCAGCCGCCATGTCGCCCCCAAACCAGATAAACGCATCCGTCAGGAAACACCCAAACTTAGCCCCAATTTCCTCCTCCGCCTCGGCCACCGCTTTCTCGTAATTGGTCGGCATCGTCGCCACAAATCTCATCGTAGCCTCCCGTTCCTGCAACGACTCCCCTTCCGCCGCCCCATCCCACACACCGTACGGAGTGATGTTCCGGCCGCCGTTCGGCTGTTTAAACAGCGCGGAGTTGGAGCTTGGAGTGCTGAAGAAAGAGAAGCGTGCGTTGGGGAGGTTTTCGGCGAGCGTCTCGACGAGGCTGAGAAGAGGAGCGGCGTGGCTGCCGAATGGGAAGGCTAAGACTGCTATGTGGAGGATTTGTGACGAAGCGCTGCTCATTTTCTTTTTTCTTTCTCTTTTTCTTCTTTTTCGATTGGTAGTTGGTTGGGTTTATGTAGTGGGAGACTCTCCCTCTTTTACGATTGTGGGACCAGCATACCCTTATCATTCTATTACCACATCTAAATTCTAAAAACACTAACAAAATTTATCATTATAATTTTGTGTGTCATAGTAGTATGATATTATTCGCGTTTAAAGAAATGTAATTCACATTGTTGAAAAATGTAATTACATGTAAATCAAAATGTAAGTTGTCTAATACAGAATACAAGAAATAAAACCTTGATTTCAACATACACGATAAAAAATGGAGCATAATTGTTCAATTATTTTACGTACATAAATAGTGAATATGTTTTGCTTTTAATATTAGAGTTATAAAAAATGATACGGAATATATTGTAAAAAATATATACTCCCGCACATAAAAAACGAGTGAACCATGATTTTTTTTTGTTTCAGTAATAAGGATTTACTTTGAGTGTGTAACTCGCCGTCTTATAACAAATGTAACTCTCGTTGATGGTGAACATGACTCGCATGTAAGCGGGCCCGGTTCTAGGGTGAAAAAGTGGGGCACATGTCCACGGCCCATCTTTTATATGGGGCCATATTTTTATATGTTGTGTGTGTAGAGAGATATTAGAGATCAAATACAAACCCTTTCTAATTTACTAACCTATAAACTCATCATGACCATACATATTAGTAAGATTTGCGTGCACTTGTTGCTAATTCATGAAAACATATGTAAAAGAAATAATGACGGAAGTATAACCCGTCCACTTTGAGTTGACAAAACTATTACCTCTTTTTATTTTGGACAAATATATGATTAAAGGTAGGTTAAAATCTCTCAAATACCCCTGCCTATTACCCGTCCACTTCTTCCACGGGTATCCCTCTATTGGTCTTCTCTCTCATAGGCTCCATGGATTAAGGCGGCGACTTCACCCACCGTAGATGGCGGACATGGAGGTACTCCAATTAAATCGACGAGCTTCATCGACGAAAGCCGATGGCACTCCAATTAAATCGACAAGCTTCGTCGATGAAAGCCGGCAACTTTATAGGTAGATCATCGATCTGCAGTGATGCGTACTATTTAGAAGTACATAAACACCACATTCTAGAATGGTTTTACATTATGTTTACTTAGCTTTTGTACAATTGCGGTGTAATCTTTATCTTCTAAAATTAAAGAAGAATTAGAAGATATTAAGATATTTTGACATGTAAGCAAAAACATGATGAAAAGAAGAGGAAAGAGCTTAGGAGCATAAGGAAGGAGCATTGGAGACAAGAGGAAGCTTCATGGAGGACAAAGATGTGTGAAAAATCGGATATGATTCGACCCGGAGTTCATAAGAGATCAAATAAAACAAGTGAACATGGGAAAATCAAATTATGTCTTAGACCCAACCACCTCACTTCTCCTATAAAAACACCTCTTTCCTTCCTATTTTAGATACCAATTTAATCCCCTCTTTCATATACACTTTATTCTTGTAATTTAGGTAGTCTTTCCATCTTGGTTTTGCTACTTTGAAGGTTAATGAATTGTAAGTTGTGAGTTATTTTCTTTAATTTTCTTCCTTGAATATTAATTTTTCTCTTAATACTATCTTTATATTAATGTTGGGGAGTGTTACTAAGATGACAATTAGTTAACATCTCGACATTAGTTAGAGTAGTATTTATTTTCTTCCTTTATATTAATGTTGGGGAGTGTTACTAAAATGACAATTAGTTAACATCTTGACATTAGTTATAGTAGGATTTACATCTTCTTTAATATTCTTCCTTGAAAATTAATTAATTCCTAGTCATATTTCATTTTAATATTTTGAGCAATACTTAAAGGATCAACTAGTTTTGTCTCATATATTAATTATTACTAGAATCGATCGACGAATACGCTTGTTAATCGTTCGATCTTTTCACGGTAGTAAACTTGGATTATTAATGCATGTGTTTCATGGTTAATAATCTAAGGGGAATTAATTATATTGATTAAACCAATAAACCTCTTGTGTTGAGGTTATCAATTTCACTCGTTTTCATCTTGAATTTATTGCTACTATCGAGTAAATATACGGCGCGTGTTCTATATTAATTCGGTAGTAAGTTTTAGTAATGAACGCGTCTCGTTATTAATAACTACCCTAGATGAACTGGATATACTCCTCGATTGAGTATTCGAGAGGAAGATAGTTAAAGATATAACTAGGATCGACGAACATTTCATTAAGTGGATAAAAGCAAAACCAAGACTAATTACCTTTGATATTTTATTTTACACATTTAAGTATTTTATTTGCTTTCTCAATTATCAAAATATCCAATTTCTCCTTCCGTTTTCTTTTATTTATTACGCTTACACATACGCGAAAAGCTCATTTCCCTGTGGATACGAACTCTACTACGCTATACTACGGTATTAACCCTTAGTAGTGAATTTAGTTTGAAGCACACTACGACAAAGTGCTCGTCATGCAGATTGGAAGCCCAGCGACCACACTTCCCAGGCGACCGTCGCTCTAGAGCCCATCGTCCCTCACCTCACTGGCTCCTCATTCGGCTTCCATCGTCGCTGCTCACCCCTGAATCGTCGCCACTCAACATTCCTTCTCCGGCATGTTCAATCCCATCGCTACTCACCTTCACCGTCACGGTAGTTGAGCTTCTCAATCTTCTCATTCATCTCATTCTTTTTTCTTCTCATCCAACGATGTTGAGGGTGAACGGATGTCTAGAAGCTGGCGGCTATGGTTTGGCAGACATTGAAGGCTGATGTACTATTTCGATTGTGGAACTAAGGTTTCTGTCTTGGGAGGGCTGAGGATTGGTCTGAGAGGTTGAGAGGCTATGAAGAGTGAGGTCTCAAGAGAGCTTCGGTGTGACAGGGAGGGGGCGAGTGCAGGGTTTGGGCGAGTAGGAGGGGGCTGGGGAGGTGGCCAGGAAGTTGAGAGGTGGCTCGGAGGTGGCTGGAGATCAGGGCGGGATCTGGCTAGGTAAGTGGGTTGGGGGCTGGGGAGTCGAGTCGAGGGCGGGGCGGTGGTGACCAGTGGTGGTGAGTATCGAACCTTGTAATATAGAGTGGGTCGATACCGATAATTGATCTAGTCGTTTCAAGTAGATGTAAATGGTTGTATCAGATAATTGTAATTGGTTGGTTCTAGTAACTTTAACTGGTCAGATCGGGTGGATATAACGGGTCGGGTCGTGTAACTATAACTGGTCGGTTCTATTAATTGTAACTGATCATCATATCATATAACTGTAACAAGTCGAGTAAGGTCATTATACCTGATTGCGTTTAATAATTGTAACGAGTCAAATCGAGTAGACATAACTGATCAGGACAGATAACTGTAACTGGTCAGATTAAGTCACTAGAGTGGGTCATGTGACGTTATCTAAAATCATCAAGGATAATTTAGTAATGGAGTGATGGTTTCCCGAAAAAAGTAGGTCACTGGAAATGTATGATCAGTATGACTGATGATAGTCACTATAGCTGTAGTAATTGGGACGGTTGCCACTAGAGCGGTAGTAACTGGGACGGTGGTCACTGTAGTTGTAGTAATTGAAACGGTGGCCACTGTAGCTATAGTAATTGGAACGGTGGTCATTGGAGCAGTGGTAACTGAGATGATGCCACTGGAGCGAGAATAGTAACTTAGACGATGGTCACTCTAGAAGTAGTAGTAACTGGAATGGTAGTCACTAAAACCAGTAGTAACTGGGGTATTGGTCACTAAACAGAGGTCACTGTGTTAATTTGTCATTGAGCGGAAGTCATCGTGTCAATTGGTCACTAGACGTAAGTCACTGTGTTAATTTGCCACTAATCAAAAGTCACTGGGAGGTGGTCACTGTGACGTTGGTCATTGGACGATGGTGATTGGGCTGTGGTCTCTAGTCACTGTGATCGCCAGTCATCATCACTAGGTGTTGGGTCACTGACGGAGTGGTGGTCACTGGAGTCATATTACACGGGCATTGGGGCTGTCAAGCTTTTGATTGGTTAATGTGTGGCATAACATCATATTACCAATAGAAATACTCCATACACCATATTAAAGTACTTAAATACAATTTGGATTCAAGCACTAGTTGAAAATATGGATTTAATAACGGTTATAATGGACTTTTAATAACGGTTCAGAACCGTTATTGTTTCAACACCTATTAAAAGTCTGGTACTTTTAATATGGGTTCGGGAACCGTTATGAAAGTTTTTTAATAACAGTTCAATTGGGCTTTTAATAACGTTATAGGCCGATATTGTTGCGGCACATGTTAAAAGTCCGGCACACTTAATAAGGGTTAATACACAACTGTTATTGAAACATTCAATAGCAGTTATACATTAACCGTTATTAAAGATTTTCAATATGGGATTAATCAACCCATATGAAATGTGTTCCTAACATTTAATTCATACCCAGCTATTTCTAAATATCAGAAATTTACACATATTATCATAGGAACATTTATCGCAACAAAGTAAACAGATCATTGCTCATAACTAATAAACTTCCACATTCACATTGTTTTGATCCAAAAATATTCAGCAAAAATATTCACAACATTCATCAAAAAATAACTTTGAGTTCACAAGACTCATCAAAAACTAACTTTGAGTTCACAAGACTCATCAAAAACTAGCCAAGAGTCTAAAAATTATATCAAATATCTGTAGCTTCGCAGAAAAATGACGCCCAACGCTCTCATGTCTCGTTGATTTCTTGATCAGTGAATGACTCTTGAACGTTGAATGCCTACAAATTAAATAACGAAGACGGCAAAGATAAGCCACAAAAGCACACACTTAAGTTACATGAATTTGGGGAGCAAACACTTTTGTCATTCATGATCACCCCATAGCATACTTCCGAGTCCAGCTCCGAGCCGTGGTCTCGTATTTGGCCCGGTCAGTCTTGTACACGTGCGCAATTTCTGGCACAAGCGGATCATCCGGGTTTGGATCAGTCAACAGGGAACAGATGGACAAGAGGACCTGAAGTAATAATAAATATGAAAAAATAGATTCATCAGGATATAAATAGATTTTAATACCAGGCATTCAGGCAATGTGGACATCATACCAAACAATTGAGGAAATCATTATTTATTCCCTTTAGACCCCGCATGAGGCATACTAGATACTAAAAATAATCACCAAAACTCTCTAGGTAATGTTGGGACCTAGGAATGTGGAATTTAAAATGAAAGAAATATAAACAAGTGGCAAGTCAGATACGAGTAGTTCTTTTTTAAATAATGTCATGTTATACTTTGCAAGACACAAGAAATCAAAATAGGTAATATCTTTTCAAAATTTGAGCAATATTTCCTCTCTATTTTCTTTCTCTACCATTACCTGGTCCAAACAGACTCTTATTTTTCCACCAACATGCAAGATAAATCAAGTTTTCTACTAAAAATAATTTCACAAACAAGAGATTTGCTCCGATAAAAGTATTTTCAACTGCTAAACACATGTTTACACTCATCACTGACTTTTAAATTTTTGAAGGCATCAATCTTATATTCCAAGTGTACATTCATTTTCAAGAATATGATGCATTTTCTTTAAGAATATCAAGGCAGATACTTCCATTGCTATTGATGTTAGGGTGAAAGACCTTAGTCCGGAAAGCAACCTGAAAAGTTAAAAAAGGATTGAATTATATAAACACACCAACACAAAGTTTCCTGTGTGACCGAAAATCTCATACAAAATCAACATTTTGCTATTTTGAGTTATTGGTGTACACATCAAGGCGTGAATGTATCCAGGTATCATATTGCCACATCATCAAGGGTCTGTTTGTGACTCGATAAAACTAGGGCAAGAAAACATTAAATATGGATGGAAAGAATATGAAAATCATCAGAAAATGTGTGGGAGACTGGGAGTATATAAATTTGATGGTCCCGGATAGAGGTAAAAGTCTAGAGGGGGGTGAATAGACTTGTAAAGCTTTTTCACTTTAAATACTTTTTCCTTCTAGTTGAGTTGATCTATAATCTTTTGGGAGATTTATAGATGCACAACGGAAGTCTTTAATCTCTTAGATGAATAGTGTATAACAACTTTCTATGATGGATGAAGTTTGGGGTTTGCAAGGTGAGCAGTTGGCTTGGCAGTTGGCTAGAAAGCAGGGAACTGCTGAGGCAACTGCTAGCGAAATACTTAGTGTATGATGAAAGTGCACTCGGAATCTTTCTTAGAGTGAGAAGAGCTTGGTAAGGATCTTTTTTCCGTTGGACAAGTCGAGAGCTTCTCTCACTACCGCGCTTGTGCGTAGGTTCTTGTTCATATGGAAACATCTCATTTCTACCGATCTTCCTCCGTTGATTCTGTGGATTGAGCTTGGATATTACCTCTTCTACTTCCTCCCCTCGGTGAGGTATCAGAATATCCAATTTTCAAGCTCATTTTTGGGGTCTTTGGCGTTGTTTCGCACAAAAACTCCTACGCAAACACTATTCACGTGAAGAAGGTCAACGCCTCTCTAGATCGATTCTCTTGGCCAATCTTTGATTTGAAGGTAGTTCTAGCATCCCCTAGCTGTGGGGATTAAGCAAATATAAGTTCTTTCATCATCGGCCAACTTTGAATTTTGTCATCTTCTCCAACAGTCTCCTCCATTTGTACGGAAATAAGCTCAAACCGAGGTAACATCTCTTATGCTTCTTTTCGAGGGGGTTGCTAACTCTTAGCTGCCCCTTCTTCCATCATGGGGGAAAAAAGAAGAAGTCCCCCTCACGGCCGACGAAGACTTCATCTCGGATTCGAGCCAAGTCCCAAGCCAAGGAAACTGATGAGGCCGTGAATACTTCACACCTCCAAGATGAAGACTCCATAGCACACGTAGCTAATATTGAGGTTGCTAGCCCCTCTAATATTGTTGTTGATAAGGGAACTCCTGTCCGTGAGGATAGCACTTCCGAATTGAGTAAATTACCTGCTCATGAAACTAACCACGTTGTCACGCCTTCACTTACTGTCGAGGCTACACCCACCCAAGAGGTCAACCATATGGACTCTCACCAAATTGAGGTAATTCCTCCTTCTTTTGATGATGTTCTAATTGAGGAAGAACAACCGGATTATATTATTGACCCCACGGTTCAAGATATATTAGACAAGGACTCCACTCCTATTAGCCCTACTATTGTCACCGAAAGTGTGGTTGTTGTACAAGACAAAGGAAAGGGGTTACTCGTCCCTTTTCAAGACAACATTGCTAATGCCGCGGAAGTTGATAAAATTGATAACATTGATAATGCCGCGGCATTTGAAGGCCAAGGGAGCAAGCATCATTCTAAATGGGGTAAACCCGGATCTACTCCTATATTTGTTTCATTGTTTAAAGATAATAGGCAGCCGAACAAAGGCATGAAACTACGATATATTGAACCAAAGGGAGATATCATTGATCTTACTAACCGCAAAATATCCTCTATGATCGAAATTTGGGGTTATTGCCTAATGGCATACTTTGATGTCCGTTTCCCCGGACTTAAGAATACACATGATATGGTGCATAAATGGGGAGTGCCTTGTCGTGTTAGATCACATGATAGAGGATGGGTCATCTTCAAGTTCCAAAACGAAGAGGATAGATCCAATGTACTAATGGATGGACCTTACTCTCTCTTTGGGAAAACAGTCCACCTTAAAACATTATCCGAAGATTTCTCTATGGATGATGATAAGTTCCTAAAGGTGCCGATTTGGGTCTTATTCCCTCATTTGCCTATGAGAATTTGGGAAGAGGAGATTATAAGTGAGGTGGCTTCTAGAGTTGGAACACCAATCACTACGGATAGAGTCACACTTGAAAGAGCAAGATCATCATTTGCTAGGGTCCTTATTGAGGTGGATGCTTCTAAACCACCCCCTTCAATTCCAAATCAGGCTGCCAAACGGAAAACTACACACGCAAAGGGTGAGGTATGAAACTTTCTCTAACTATTGTTTTAATTGTAAATGTTTCGGCCACCATTGTTTCACTTGTAAGGTATTAGCCGAGAAAGAAAGGAAAGAGACTGAAGCTAACAAGGTGCATCATGAGGCTGAAAATGGTGCTCCAAAGGAAATTGTTGTAGAACAAGTCCAAGACAAAGGCAAGCAAGTCATTATGGAAGACAATGAAAAGTATCCTCGGCCTAGCAAGTCCCCATAAAAGGAGCACCCATTTTTCAAACTTCTAAAATGTGTTAAATATGGGAAGAGAAGACCAAAGAAAGGGGAGAGGGCTAGATCCCCTGGGTACACTACACAAGATGAGGAAGATGATCAAGATGGCCAAACCGTAAGAAGTGTGAAAGCTTTTGATGAGATTTACTCGGATGAAACAATTATTGAAATGGACCCGACATTGGATTTTTCTAGTCCAACTATCAAAGTCAAGCATGTAGATGAGGTGGACAAGGAAGCAACTATTATCAAACTTGGTCACAACTTGAACTTAGTTGAAAAACATGATCCCGGTGTATCTTTTACAAAGGGATGTCTTGAAAGCTTACCGGATGTTACACAAATAGATCAAGGGTATGCTTTCGGCCCATCATTTATGAGAGGAGTGTATAGACATTATCTTAATAGATTCTTTGAAGAGGGCTGCCCGAGGGGAAACTCATGCAAGGTGAAGGATCCTAGGAAGGTCAAACTTGATCAAACCCATGCGGTACATGATATAAGGGATGCCTATCTTGACGATGTCATTGCTAAAGTGGAAATTTTTGAAGACCAGCCGTCAAATATCCATCTTAGGCACCTTGATGAGGTCAATGAAATGATGGTTAGACTTGACAACTATCTAAGTGTTCAAAATCAAGCTTCGAGCACCAAAGCCATCAATTTCACTCAAGAATGTCTAAGATCTCTACTGAGAACCATTCCTACCGATGAGGGGTATGTCTTCACTTCTTATTTATTTGAATTACCATATTTCTTGCTCTTTATTACTAGGTACACTCCAAGAGAATCCAAAAAATTGCCTTTGGCCGAGGGAAGGAATGCAAGGAAAGGATGGAGGAGGCCTACCACAAAATCTTCATAATGATAGTGTCCTCATGGAATGTCCGAGGCCTAAATAAGGTCTCCAAACAAAACCTTATCTCTAATTTTTTGAAGTCTAATAATGTACATATTTGTTGTTTGCTTGAAACTAAAATGAGCACCCCAAATTTTGAAAAGTTTACATGTAGTAAATGGCCTTCTTGGTCATCTATTACCAACTTTGACAAAATTGATGGTGGACGCATTGCTATTATTTGGAACCCCAATCATGTGTATGTTAATGTCTTAGAAATTGATAAACAACACATCCATTGTATTTTCAAATGCTTGACCACTCAAATTCTCTTCTATGTTACCTTTGTTTATGCACTATATTCGGTTGTTGAAAGAAAAGTACTTTGGGATCATATTGCTCGTTTGGAACCTTCTATCGACAGCCCTTGGCTTGTTATGGGAGATTTCAACTGTGTGTGTGGGCCTAATGAGAGGGTGGGGCCTACCCCTCCCTCGGTTTATCATTTACAAGATCTAAATGATCTCAAAGTACAAGCAAATTTAGTTGATACTCCATCTACGGGTGAGTTCCTTACTTGGAATAGAGGATCCCTTTGGGCTAAACTTGATAGAGTCCTTATGAATCCTCTTTGGGGTACTCATGGGATCTCTTGCACTACACATTTTCATGATATGGAAGTTGAATTTGACCATGTGGCTTCTATGGTCACTCTCGGCCAAACCAACAATTTGGGTTCAAAACCGTTTAAGTTCTTTAATATGTGGCTCAAGCATGAGACTTTCAAACCTACTCTTACCTCATCTTGGTGTAAGGAGGTCTATGGAAGTTCTCAATATATTTTGGCCCAAAAATTGAAATTGTTAAAGCAACCTCTTAAAGAACTAAACAAGCTGAATTTTAGTCACATCTCCGAGAGGGTCAAGGAATCTAAGAAGGAATATAAAGGGCTGCTTAGCCTTTCTATACTTTCCCCCCTTGATGAGGCCCTTAAGATGGATATTGCTATTTGTAAGAAGAAGCTCATTAACCTTAAAAAAGCTGAAGAGAATTTTTTTAGGCAAAAGGCTAAAGCCACACATCTTGTCCAAAGTGATAAATGTACGAAATATTTTCATTCTATTGTTAAGAAGAACAACACTAGGAACTCCATTACGGCTCTAAATCTTCCTAATGGCAATCCTACCACAAATTGATCAAGTTGCTTGTGAACTGGTAAATTTTTATACATCTTTGTTTGGAACTCATTACCCAAATGCTCCTTTGGACCCGAATATTGTGACCTCGGGTAAGACATTACCCTCTCACTTGAAAGACAGCCTGATTGCACCTTTTTCTGACCTTGATATTAAGGAGGCTTTGTTTGACATAGGAGACAACAAGGCCCCTGGCCCTGATGGGTACACTTCGGCCTTTTTTAAAGAAAATTGGGGTATTGTTGGGAATGACATGATTAAGGCTGTCAAAGGTTTCTTTGGGTCTGGCAGAATTCTTAAGCAAGCTAACCACACGGTTATTGCTTTAATTCCTAAGACCAATCATGCTCCTACAGTTGCTAACTTTAGACCCATTGCATGCACTAATGTTGTTTATAAAGTTATCACTAAGGTTTTGGCTAAGAGGATGATTCCTTGCCTGCCTGACTTTATTGATCCGGCCCAGGGGGCTTTTGTTGATGGGAGACTCATGATTGATAATATTTTCATTGCCCAAGAGCTGGTTAAAGGATACACTAGGAAAAGAATATCTCCCAGATGTATGATTAAGATTGACCTTAGAAAAGCTTATGATACAATATCATGGGATTTCTTGGCTAATATGCTAACACATTTGGGCTTCCCTAGGAGATTCATTGGATGGATTATGGATTGTGTTACCACACCCTCCTACTCTATCTCAATAAATGTATCCCTCCATGGTCACTTTAAAGGGAAGAGGGGACTAAGACAAGGTGATCTTATGTCCCCTCTCCTATTTGTACTTTGTTTGGAATATCTATCGAGACTGTTGAATGTAAGAACACAGGATCCATGCTTCAAGTACCATCCTAAGTGTGGCAGCCTTAAGATATCCCATGTTGCATATGCGGATGATTTAATGCTCTTCTCCAAAGGGCATAAACCATCTATCAAGATACTTGTTGATTCCTTGGAGGAATTTGGCAGAACTTCAGGCCTCATGGTAAATTATGACAAGTCAAATATCTTTCTTGGAGGTGTGGCTGATTATGACCTAAATAGTATCCTTGAACTTGTGGATTTCAAAGTGGGTGCTTTCCCTGTTAAATACATTGGGGTCCCTTTGGCCCCTCTAAAGGTATCGGTGGCACAATATGCCCCACTATTAGAGTCTGTTACTAATTTCATTAGTGCTTGGAATCTTAAGACTCTTTCATATGTGGGAAGTGTAGAACTTATTAAATCTGTGATACAAGGTGTGCATTCATTCTGGCTTCAAGTTTTCTTTATCCCTAGGACCATACTAGATAGGATTACCTCTATTTGTCGAATCATTCTTTGGAGGTGCAAATTCTCTAGGGTCTCCTGGGCTGACATTTACCTCAATGGCCGTGATGTGTGGGACTTTTCCCCACATAATAGGGACTCACACCTAATGAAAAAATGGCCTCGATTAGAGATGAATTTTTAGGGAAATATGGGGGAACCGTGGCTGCTATACAAGGTTTGAATGCTTTACAATCTAATGGCAAACTTGTTTCTTCAAAAGTTTATAACTTGCTTAGAGTTAAGGCACCCACCCGTTGGTGGATGTCCTTCATTTGGAAAAATTACATTCCCCCCAAATTTTCCTTCACTACTTGGTTGGCATTCCGAAATAGGTTGGCTACAAATGATAATCTCCTTCGATTAGATGTAGTTAACATTTGTGTCTTGTGTAAGGGTGGGCTGGAATCGGTCCCACACCTATATTTTGAATGCCCTTTTGCTGGTAAAGTTTGGAGATTGGTCAAAGATTGGTTGAAAATTCCAAGGCATATGGGCTCTCTGACGAGTTCGGTCAAGTGGATAAAGAAGGAGAGGAGTGGAGCTACCATCCAAGCAAAGGCAGCTAGGATTGCTTTCTGCTTCTCAGTTTACTGGATCTGGAGGGTCAGAAACGCTGCAAGATTTGATGGAATACTACCAAAGGAAGAAGAAGTTTTTGCACGGATAAAGTACATTGTGTACAAAGTTTTGTATAGTATTTACCCACAAGACTTGGTGGTGTTTTGATAAAATTTCTGCCGTTTGCATGTTTTTTGGCCGAGAATTAGCTTGAGTAGCTAAATTAGGCGTGGTTACTATAGTGGCAGCCATATTTTTGGAGGTGATGGGTTATCCAATATTTGGATAACCTGCAATTTTGCTCACCCTTTTTGATGTACATATAAACTCTTTGGATGGTCCTCAATATATACTTACTGTTCATCCAAAAAAAATAGAGTGAGAAGAGCTTTCTGATGATGTAACAAGATAGATTGATAATCAACCTTAATGAGAGCAGTGGTCTCGGCAGTTGGGTAGTAACCAGGGAACTGCTGAGGCACCTGCTTAGGTAAAAACAAAGGTATGGGAAGATTGATTATGTAGTGTTGCTCAGGGTGATGAGGGCTTTCTGAAGATGTGCTTTTGTGTAAGTGAGTGGGAGTCTTACTGGAGCAGTGATCTCGGCAGTTGGGTGATAATGAGGGAACTGCTGAGGCACCTGTTGAGTTTCAATTTAAGTTTCAGAAGGTCTGGTTCAGAGGTCTGGTTCAGAGGTGGTGTAATCCTCCTACGTCCAGTCCCACCCTATTTCATATGGATTTCACTAAAGTATTAAACCCAATACACTTAGTGCCAATCTAGCCTTTACAACACTTAGGCCTAGATTGAAGGTTTTTCACAATGAGTATAACACCACTCAAAGTTACTCAGTCCTTAGACTTTTCTCAAATGATCCAGTTGGGATCAAAGGTACTCTATCTATCTCACCACACTGTAGGATCCGAACAACTGTTCTCCTAAGTGTTTACAACAATTTGTGATTTGATTACAAGAAAGTTCTAACCTCCAACTAGGAACTAAACTTCTCAAATTTAGCAATGAGCACTTGTGACTAAGAAGTTTAGTGAAACAAGAGTCTAAGCAGAGAGTAAAGTATAGATTCACACTTTCTCTTTTGCTAGATATCTCGTGAATGCTCAATGAAATATTGCTCTACTTAGAATGCTCAAGCTTGGTTAGAAACTTTCGTTTCAGCCTATATTTATAGGCTTCTCCTATGAATTAATCTCATCCGTTGGTTAGGATGAATTAATCTCTGGCTTTGAAAAATTGGCAAGGATGAATTGTACATTTGTCTTCTTGTACGTTGTTGCATTTATTGGGACGATTTCTCTGTCTTGAGTATCTCAGCCACTGAAGCATCTCTTGAGAAAATAATCCCATGTGTGCGTCCTATGCTCCGGTCCCATGTACAAATGTAGTATTAATTGCCGGTCTATTTTTGTCTTCAATCATTTACATTCAATGTATTTGATTTTACGAGCTTCTTTTCTTTAAAATGTGACATCCAATTAATCTTTGAGCTAAAATAATATATACCGGTAGGATCTAAATATCCTATGAAGGTAAATAAAAATAACCTTATTGCATTTTAACTTTTCCGGTAATATTTAATTCGACTCAAAAATTGTACATTTTATTTTGTCACATAATTTTGAATGCTAACACACGAACAATATTGAGACACAATGTACACGTGCTAAGTATAGTGGCATCATCAAAATCTATAAAAATTGGGTACTAACAAAATTTCTTCATATTCCATGCCTATTATATAAAGGCTAAGAAATCTAAATAATGTAAGATGAGAATAGTTTCTCCAAACATAGCCTAAGTGAAAGCATATGCATCCACCAATAACAATTCAACAGCCCATATCATCTGAAAATTATACAATAGTCAAAGAAAAGTCAAACAAAACCTAGAACATGATAACATACCTTAGGAGGCTTAAAAGGGTAATCAGGAAGGAAGTGAATCAAAACCAGGAAAAAACCTCCAGCATAGGGACTATCAGTGGGCCCCATAGTTGTTGCTTGCCAATGGAACATATCTTCTGCAACAGGGCCTGCAACAAAAATTATCACACAATCAGTACATGCTACCATGGTTTAAAAAGGCGCTTATGAGGCGGGTTCTGAGGCGCGCCTCAAGTTGAGGTGTACTGGTTGGGTATCAAGGCGTAAGTTTTTTTGACAAGTAAAGAGGCTTACGCCTCATAGATTGAGGCACACGCCTTGAGGTGTTTGTTGAGGCGCACGCCTTGAACACTTGCGTAGTGACTTAAAACAGGTTGAAATATTTTATTTAATAAAAAGCCCAGAGTTCTTTCTAAATAGAAGCCCATATACTAAACCCTAATTTTATATGTCTTTATTTTTTTAGGCTTACGCCTCAATACGCCTCAAGGCTTACACCTCGCCTCTTAGGAACAAACCGCCTTGAAACCCGAACCCGCCTTTTTAAACCTTGCATGCTACATAATGCACGATCAAATAGCACATGGCTACAGAAAATAAATTTAAAAGCACTAGCTATAAACACTTACAACTAAACCAGGAATGAAAAGACTAAATATACTGAGATTCAAAATTTCAAGCCATACTAGCGCGACATGATGTGGGTGGGTCCTTCTGTAAATCCTTGATCTCCTTCAGTATGCGTTTTGATACCATAACTTAAGCCAGGAAAGATCTTCTAAGCTCTTTTCAGATAATAACTTATGACCTAATCAAAGATGGTATGCCTAGTCAGTACTAGCAGATCTTAAGCTCTCACTCAAAGTACAAAAGAGAACAAACAAATTAGGAGTAATAAGATACACAACAAGCTAAACAGTGACACACCATTGAAGAATGCTCCTCAAGTCACCAAGCCCCCATCCCACCTCAACCCAGTTTTTTCATGTTGTGAACTGGAAATTAAGATGAAAAGATGAGTCATGCTCAAATGCTCAATTGTCAAAACAGGGAATTAATTCATTAATAAACCCAAGATTACAAACCATAGTACATGACATAATAGTAGTTTTCCATAACATCAATATATGTCTGAATTAGTATTCACAAATTAAAAAGGGCCATTATGACTGCTGCCTGAAATCAAAGATTCAAAGTTATAACTTATTATAATTATATCAAAAGCCAACGGAAATTATATCAAAAGCCAATGAAGACGGCAAAGATAAGCCACAAAAAGCACACACTTAAGTTACAGGAATTTGGGGAGCAAACATTTTTGTCATTCATCATCACCCCGTAGCATTTTTGAATTTAGGTGAACGTCAATCACTCAATATTAATCATTTTACCTTGCTTGATGATGCCTCCATAGTCTTTTTGTTCATTCGTTGCTTCAGGTTCTCATTTTCTCTGTAGACATTTGCATGTTCTTTTTTCTTCTCTTCCAGTTTGGCCCTTAACAAGCTTACTTCATCATATTCTCCTAGACTATCATTTAAAACCACACGTGCAGGTCTGTTTTCTTGTTCATTGTCAAGGAATTCTTGCTTGGGAAAAGCTGGTTTCATTGTTTTCTTCTTAATTTTATGCTGCACGAAAGATCTAAGAGTTTTCAAGTCCAGTCTTTTGATGTTTTCAACTTCAGTCTTTCTGTGGTTTTCTTCTTTTGCATCATAAAAGAAGTGATGGAGTATATGGCCCGGGAACACCCGGCCCACAGTCTCATACTACTCCTTTAGAGGCCCAACAGGCCCAGAAGGCCCAACAGGCCCAAATCATGGCGCCCAGAGTACCAAGCTGCCCACAATACGCACCAGGGGTACCTTCGGCCCCCTAGCCGAAGGCTCCAAACTATCACAGCATGGATATTTCGAACAAACAGAGGAACTGGGAGAAAACGGCGAAAACAGTAGCCCTCGGCACCTGGAGCCCTCAGCACTCAGGGGCCCTCAGCACTAAGAGCCCTTGGCTAGTCCTCTGCAGCCGAGGGCACCTCTCCCGACATGATATCCGCCTCACATGCGTGCAGATCACCGTACCCTGTACAGACGTCCCATCCAACAGCCGCATTAAATGCGGCCACATGCGGCTGCCAACGCCAACCAGTTGAGGTGACCCCTCGGCCAATAGGCGCTTGACACGTGTCCCTGTCCGGCATTTATTGCTACTATAAATAGCACCCCATTTCCCCATTTGTAACCACGACATTCATACTGAATACACTCTCTCTCTCACTTACTTGTGCTCTGACTTCTCTCTAAGTTATTCCCTGCAATAACCCCTCGGATATATACCCCCGGGTAGACTATCCATCATTTGGTGCTCTCGTTGAGAGGTCGAACTGTAACACCGCCCCCGAGTATTTGTACTGTACCAAATTATGTATTGAACCTTGAGAAATGTATAAAAGCATTTTTACGTGATTGTAAATTTTTATCATTTCTATTACGTGAATAGTAAAATTCACGTGGGGTCCACACCGGATGTGGGGCCGCCCAATATTATCGGGACCACATATTATATTAATCTTAGACTAGATAATATGTATATGGTGGTGGATATCCTAATTGGGCCATGACAATGGCACAAGGTTGACCGGTTGGTCAAACGGGCTAAATTATCGGTATCGGCAATTTATCAGATAACAGCCCAAAAAGGGATTCCGAGAACCTATAAATTAAAGTTGGGGATTTCATAATGATTCTAAGGCCCAATAAGGATTGGGAACGAGTGTTATATTTTATTTGACCCGATAAAATAAAATATACTTAAAACAGTCCGGAAAATACAACTTTCGGGACCGATTGTACACTCGGGTACACAAAGGGTTGACCTCCCACATGAGTGGGGGCCAACCCACGTCCTTGGTCTGGAAAATAGCAAGGGGAGCCGCATCATAGAGCTGAGAATTGGCTGGGGAAGTGATTGGGAGACCAATCAATATGAGGGTGGGACCTTTGCCATATGATTTGGTGAGAAATGCCAAAATGGCATCCTCAATCACCCCTCACCCCATATGCTCGGTTCAATCATCCAAGGAAGGGAGAGAAACTCTGAAAATACTCCATTTCCTCATCCTTTCACGCAACAAGAACAAAGGAGGAAGAAGGAGGGGAAAAGAGAAGAGAAAAGGTTGTTTTGGAGAGGAAAACTTGTGTTTAGCAAGGTAAGGACTCCATTAACCCCATTTCGTTTTCTTTAATCATCTTATATGATTATTCAATCATATTTCACACCCTAGGATTGTTCTACACGTTGGGATGTGTAGGAAGAGGGGTTGGAAGGTGGTTCTAAGTCCAAGAACGGACTTATAAGCCAAAGGACCGGTTCGCCGGAAAATAACCTTTTGAAGGTTATTTATATTACTATGGGTTTTATGATGATAAAACCTTGTTAGTAACTTGTCTAAGGTATTCAAGGAACTTTCACGGAGTTGAAAAGGTCGCCGGAGTTGTCGCCGGAGTTCGTTGAAGTTCGCCGGAGTTTCGTCGGAGCTAAATCGGGAAGGCTAGAACTTCATAAGCTTCATTAAGGTGAGAAGACGGCTTTCTGCTTTATAACTTTTGCGTGAGGCATGAGATTACCTAAAGTAATCAGGAATATGTTTTGTGGAATGATTAAAGATAACCAAGTGTGTGCTTATGCCATGATTATACATAAAACATAATTGAAAAGCATGTTATGTAGGTTTGGTGATCAAAAATGTGATAACTTCTTATGTGTGATGTTCCAGGGATCCAAAATGGTATTTTTGGATCAAGGACGTCAAGAAGCATAAGTGTATACAATTTCACGTTAATCGGACTTCGTTTGGGCGGTCAAACGAGCGTTGACCGCCAAGACAAAGGTGATACCCGACCGGGTATGGGTGAATACCCGACCGGGTTTTGATTAAAAATGGCTCCAGAAGCCACTGCCACACTAGACCCGACCGGGTATGGGTGTAGACCCGACCGGGTCTCAAGTAAAGTTGGCTCCAGGGGCTACTGCCTCACCCCACCCGACCGGGTAAGGTTGGATACCCGACCGGGTATTGGGTTAAGCTCAGAATGGGCAGTTTTGAGTAGGTTAACGTGGGCCGTTCGGGTGGGACCCGCCCACGTTGGATCCTAAGGATTGTTATATGACTATAGGGCTAGGCATTGTCCATAGTTAAAGGAATGAAAGGTTAGCCATATCCAGGTTAGGATTTGGTAGAGAATAGACTGGGGATTGAGTGCCCTTGGACGGTAAATGATCCAGAATACTCCAGGTGGGGTCGAGTACCCTTGGACGGTAAATGATCCAGAATACTCCAGGTGGGGTCGAGTACCCTTGGACGGTAAATGATCCAGAATACTCCAGGTGGGGTCGAGTACCCTTGGACGGTAAATGATCCAGAATACTCCAGGTGGGGTCGAGTACCCTTGGACGGTAAATGATCCAGAATACTCCAGGTGGGGCCGAGTACCCTTGGACGGTAAATGATCTTAAATACTCCAGGATGGGTTGAGTGCCTTGGACGGTAAATGATCCTAAAACACTCGGTAGTATGAATCGAAGGTAGACTATAGCTTGTGAGCTAGGTAACCGGGAAAGGAGTGAGAAAAGTCAGGTAAGAACTTTATCTCTAAAAGACTCTTTAAGGTAAATGACCTACGGGTTGAGTATTTTACGAGTATATATACAGTATGTATCATCGGGTGGATGAGGGACATCTATATATATATATATATATATATCACCCTATTTTTGGGTCTCGTGTCTGAAACATTAGTTATTCTTCATATAGCCTGCTTGTCACTAGTACTTCTATGGAGTACTGACCCCTCCGGGGGCCCTCACATTTTCAGGTTGAGGCTAGAGTCCTACTACCTGCACCTTTGCCTAGGGTGATTGATCGAGAAGGAAGACGTGGTTCGTGCTTCCATTCTTATTTCAAATGTATAAACTGCTCATGGATTTTTGAACAATATTTTCATTAAAACAGTTGGGGGCCTGCGTGCCCGTGTTTGCCACGTGTGGCTATGTATCAAACATTTTATTATTTTCCGCATTTGTTTTATTATGATATTGATGTTGATTGTATGTGTTTACTAATCGGTTTGGCAATAGAATCAATCGGACGCCTTGTACAACTCAATAGGGATGAACTGTTGTTGTTCTTATCGGGTTGTACGGCGGTTGTCTACGTGGCTCGGATGCGGTCCGGGGCGTGACACGAACAATCAAGTAAGAAACCCTCCCCCTTCGCCAAACACTAGCCCTCTATCAAAATGGTGAGAACAACACGTGCCAACTCAAAGAACATAGAGGACAAGAACTTGGCCCTCGGCGACGTCAACGCCCCCGAAGCCTCTCACAGGGCTCCCGAGGGCGGTGTCATCGCTGGGCTGGAACAGGCGGCTGTCGACCTACGCCTTCAGATCCAACAAAATGCCCCCGATGCCCGCCTCGGCATCAAGGCCAAAAAGAAAAACCGGAGTGATGACCAAGTGAGCCCTCCGGTTCTCACCATCGACGTGCAATCGGCGCTCTCCGCCTTCATATCACGCTCACTCAGAACCCGGGTGCCTTCGGCGCCCTGGCTCCGGCTCACCCCCAGGTTGGGGAAAACATCATACTCCCCCCTCCGCCATACCCCTTCGGAAATCCCACCCCTCGGGTGAGGAACGACGAAGGGGTAGTGGCCCAGGATACATCCTCCCAGGAAGTACAGTCCCGGGACCGCCACAATGACAACAGGGAAAGGCCCCGCACTTCCGCCCTCAACCGGCTCGGAGGAGGGCCAGACCGCCGAGGGGTCCAAGACCGCCTCGGAGGAAAGGCACTCCAAAGGCCTCAGGAAAGTGGAGGATCTGTCTCGAGGGCAGACGAGGAGCGTCCCCCTCGGGACAAAGGCAAGGCACCCCTTCATGCCAATGACGCTCGCCACCAGATCAACCAGGCCCACTCGGCCCGGGTTCGTTAGCAG